CCAGAACTAGCTGGTTTTTTCAGTGTACATTTTCCAGAACCTGGTTTTTTTTTTTTTTTTTGGTGCCACAGGGATATGTGTGTTCACTAGAGAGAAACAGAGAGACAGAAGGCAAGGGAGGGGAAGAAAGCACCCATGCCCAGTAAGGCATGGTCATGCCACAGTACCCTTGCCTCCATTTCTCCACACTATTAGAATTTTGGGCAACACCACACAAAATACAGTGTGTTTTCACACTTCCAGGACTGGGATTTGAACTATGAGGTCAGCCATGTGGAATCCGGCTATCTTAAACACAGGGCCATGAAGCTGGAACCCTAAAACCTGGATTTTAAAATATATTTTGTTATTTATTTGTTTATTTATTTATAGAAGTTTTTTTGTCTTAGGGTATGTGTGCTTACCAGAGAGGAGAGACAGTGAGAGGGAAAGTGAGAAATTACACCTGAGGGGAGAATGACCACAGTGCAGTCCTTTCTCCTCCATTCTCTTCCTGGAATCTTGGGTGCACGCACATAGACACACACACACACACACACACAGACACACAGCCAACGTGCTTCAGTTTACCAGGTCTGGGACTCAAACCACAGTTGGCCATGTGGGAGTCCAGCAACATAAACACTATGCCATCTGCTGACCCCCCAAATCTAGAGTTTTAAACAAATTTTTAAAAGAGGTTTTAAGAGGCCATAGAGAGAGTGAGACAGAAATAGTGAGAGGGAATGTAAGTACCTCCCCAGTTGATGGCTACGCTTCACTCCCTTCTCCTCCATTTTCTTCCCAGGATCTGGGTGCACATGCACATGCACCCAACATGATTTTTAAGCCACCAGGTTTGGTTCTTGAACTGCCATTGGCCATGTAAGAGTCCAGCAATATAATATCCTCGCCATCTTCCTGCCCCCAAACAAAAATTTTTAAAAAATTTTTATTGAGAGCAAGCAAGAGAGAGAAAGGCAGAAGATAAGCACCCTCAACAGGGCCTCTTTTCATGATCTTCATCCTCAGACTCCCCAGTGACTGAGGATCACAGGCATGTGCATGCCAGCATGTACAGGTTGATTTGGGAAATGAACCCTCATCTTCTGTATGGCTTCCAGCATTGCAGAGTGTTGTTCTACTGCTCTGCCACCATGGCTGGGCCAGAATCTGAATTTCTAACAAACACTCCTGGTGATTCTGATGTGTGTGTTGAGGAGCTATCAGTGGTTAGAAAAAAGACTCTGACGTAGAAAAATCTGGGTTTGATTCTGACTCTGACACTTAGTAGTTGCATTGTCCAGGACAAGATCTTTAAAACTACTAAGTCTGCTTTCTCATCTGTGAAATAATGAAGTTATTGTCAAGGTTGGATAAGTTCATGTTGGGAGCACTCAGCATAGTGTTAGCTACATGAGGAACAATCATTAAGTAATAATCGTGGAAAAGGTGAAGTGAGAGGTGATTGTATCATTAGAATCCTAGCAGGACCCAGAATCCAACTTTGATGATACCAGAGACATCCATGAAGACTTACTCAGTGGGTGGGGTTGGGATACTAACCCTAGGTGTTAAGTTGCTCTGAGATTACTGACATTGGGAAGCTGTTATCAATCTTAGCCCTAAAGGGGGCAAGGAAAGGAATGGATATTGTGGAGATGATGAGAGCTGAATTCTTAGAGCAGGAAGCATTAGACAGAGCCTGTGGTTGGAGAGAGGTAGCCTCTACTAGAAGTTCGGGAAAAGCAAGGAAGGCATGGAGAAGTACCCCAGGATCGCTCTGATCTTCAGCCTGTGCCTCCTGTTGACTAATCCAACCAGGAAACTAACAGCATGGGAGCAGGAATCTGTAGAAATCAACCTCCTGGGGGAATAAAGGAGGGCAAATAATTAAATAGGAGAGAGGGATGAACAAGTGGTCAAGAAACAGCATTGTGTTGATGTTCCTGCTGCTCCTGCTGATGATGATGACGAAGAAGAATATGTTATAGAAGCAGAGTACTAGGAATCAGTTTTATTGACACTCTCGTCAGGATTGAATTAAAGCTGACATTCTCAAAAGTATAGTAGTTTCTATAAGCAGTTCAGGTGATAATACACCATGTTTGTCTACACCAGAATCTCATAATGTTATGGGATAGTTAGGCTGTTTACACAGTTCCAAACCATCTGGGTGAAACATTAAAAAAAAAAAAAAATTCCTCAGTCAGTCTGACCCTTTGGTAATGTAAGGTCAACTATTGAGCAAACTGAGTAGGCATGTTTGGTGAAAGGAAATGTGTAGTTGGCAAGCAGAAGTCTGACAAACGACTCCATGTGGATTTATTGACAAGCACACAAGACTGCCTGCCTGAAGGTTGCAATGGTGGAATTCTTTTATGTCAGCTCAGCAGGCTGCAGGCAGTGCAAGATTAGCACAGTACTAATGGTGCTTGAGGTTAGATAAACTATTTAAGTGAGGAAAAATAAAATGCCATCACAGAGAAAAATTGTTTTTACTAGGCTTGTGCTCACACATGGGTCTACTATCTGACTTCTTATTCAGCAACAATTAAATAGCAAGTACAATCATTTCCTCAGTTTTCCAGGAAGATTGATTCCAGGGTCCCCTCAGATACTGAAATTTAATGATGCTCGGGTCATATAAATGGTGTACTATTTGCATATAACCTAGCCAGATCTACCATAAACTTTAAATCACCTCTGGTTACTCATAATACTTAATACAATGTAAAAGCTATATAAATAATTATACTATTGGGTTGTTAGGAAGTCATGACACATTTTTGCATAGAAAACCATAGACAAACACATCATTGCTTTTATGACAATGTAATACATTATTTAGGTAATAACGACAAAAAAAGTCTGTGAATATTCCGTACTAGTGCAAGCACATACTGGTAACTACATTATATATGTCAGCGACAATGTAATATTTTAAAATCACAGTTGATTGTATCTGCTAATATGAAATATGAAAGGCCACCTGTAAGAAGAGTGAGTTTTAAGAGACTTGCATTGGATGTTTTCCCTTACACTTGCTTCTTGTGCTAAATTTTTTATGGAAGGTTCTGGAATCTGAGCAACTCCATGAATTGTATTTTTGAGAGTCTTAAAACAGCTGGAACTATGCAAAATTTTTCACATGTGTGCCTTTTCTCGACTAGAAGTGTCACTAGATTCTCCAAGTGACCTGTGACCACCTAAGTAAGAGTCATTGCTGGAGGCATTTGTCACCAAATTGGCCAGGATGTTACCTTTTTGGAAAAAATCCACCCTACCCCGCCAGCCTCACCTCAAGAGGGACAGACTCTATAGACACTCAACTTCTTGCTCTGTTAATTATTGTCAACATTTATACACTGAGCAACTGATATTGTGCTAGGTGTTTGATAAATATTGGA